GGCAAACTGAGTGATACAATTGAAATTCAACCTATTCGCAGTCCATATTTAATGCTTTTATTGATAGGTTTTTTGGCCATATGTATGGTAGTGAAAATCTTCTATTCAATTCTCTCTTGTTGGCATGAACTTTGGACAATTCAGTGGTTTGGTGAATAATACTGCATGACATAATGGCTCTTACAGTACAGTGGTTTACTCCCTCTTGTTGGCATGAGTTTTGGGCAATTCAGTGATAGGGTGAATAATACCACATGACATAATGGCTCTTACAGTACAGTGGATTACTCCCTCTTGTTGGCATGAGCTTTGGACAATTCAGTGATTAGGCGAATAATACCACATGACATAATGGCTCTTACAGTAGTGGTTTATTCCCTCTTATTGACATGAACTTTGGACAATTCAGTGATTAGGTGAATAATACCACATGACATAATGGCTCTTACAGTACAGTGGTTTACTCCCTCTTGTTGGCATGAGCTTTGGGCAATTCAGTAATTAGGTGAATAATACCACATGACATAATTGGCTCTTACAGTACAGTGGTTTACTCCCTCTTGTTGGCATGAGCTTTGGGCAATTCAGTGGGCATAATGGCTCTTACTCCCTCTTGCTGAATACCCCTAATGTTTCTCTCCTAATATTTTTTTCAAAAACTTGATTTCACAAGAATTGAGAACAAAATAATATTTCTGTTTTCGTCAGCAATATGCAATAGTTATCAACCTTGAAAAAGTAAAAAGGTTTTATAAGAAATTACAGAAATGTTATAACCATGTATGATAACATTGGATTAAAGGGCGGCAGTCGCCGTGCCGCGTCCTGTTCGATACGAGACTCATAGCGACGTATACAACGCGTGTAAAATACATTGTTTATTTACATGAAATTTCAAACACGCGTCAATAGAACACATTTCTAACCAATGGCATCACAGAACACAGCGGACATTTTAAATTGGTTTGATTGCTGAACGGAGATCCCATTAAACTGTCACACTTTGTGAGAAATTGAAATGAGGATTCCATTCCATATGGTTCAAATGAATGTACTTCTTACCCAATAGAATGCAGCAAGAGCTTGGAAATGTCTGACTGTATAAACAGACATGAATGAAACTATTCCTGTATTCAAAAACTTTTCAAAAACTTTGTAAAATACTTAAAATCATTTTGTAGTTAATTACCCATAATCCATCTACAATTATTTCACAGTGTAGATCAGGGGATGGTACCTCTCAGATTTGCAAATTAACTGACAGTCAGTTAGAATTATGAATTCCACTTCAACGTTATCATGCCAATGGCATGTTGCGAAGGTCTTTAACGCTGAGAATAAAGCCAAAACAATTTAAGCAATTCTGCTAAATTGAATGTATTTGTGATGAGCAAGGTGTTTTACTGTTCGCAACACTAATGATCTACTGTAAAATACTTTATTTTCGCTTGGAATTAATTATCACTGAAGGAATAATTCAGTGAAAATAAAATCTAGAAAATATACCTATTGTTCTATATTTTACATTCAACTTGTCAAAAATTAGTGAAAATAAATTCCATACAAAACAACCAAAAATAATTCCAGCGAAAATAAAGTATTTTACAGTATCAAAAATAGTCTTAGATGAAGACTAATAGACTCACTAATTTAATCAGAATTCCTAGAGATGTAGGCGTGTGTTTCACTTGACTCTTTTCCAATTCTAGTGAGATCCTTATACCACTTGCAAACTCATTTTCATTTATTTTAAGCATTTCAAAAACAAAAAGATTTTGCCTCTCATCAAAGAAAAATTGATGTGCTGACACGGTTTTAATTTATGTTGAACCAAATTATGCAAAATTACAACAAGATATGTTCAATGTTTAATTTTTATTCAGTATTAGAAGCCGCACCCAAAAATTCATAATTTCTCATATGTGTAGATGCTCTAATAGAAGCCACATTCCCTCTGTTGCATTGTACCATTTTAAAGGAAGCCGCGGCTTTTAATACAGATTTTACAGTACTACAATGTGCATACATTAAAGGTTTATTTGAATTACTGTAGAATACTTTATTTTCGCTTGGAATTTATTTTCGCTATTTTTGCTGAAAGAATGATAATGAAATAAAAAATAAAATAAAATCCTGCGAATATACATTTTTCCCTATATTTCACGTTCAACTCGTCAAAAATCAGTGAAAATAAATTCCATACAAAACACCCAAAATGCCTTTTCAGCGAAAATTAATTCCAGCTAAAATAAAGTAATCCACAGTACAAAACATACTCTGAGCAGAAAACAAACATTTCTCCATTCTACCTTACATCGGTCACTTTAAAAAACAAATGTGCGAGACAAAGTTTTTTTTTTTTTTCCAACATCATAGAATAAACAAGTCATTGTTCCGTTCATATTTGAGTGACATACAGTTGTATACATTCAAAGCAGATCATGACCGAAATCTCAGGCCACTGAAAGTGGTCTGATCCGAAATGCACCTGCATATGTACAACACATTGTACTAAATCTGAACAAAATCCATCCATCCATGCATGACTGGGATCCGGTTCCGGAATTGTGAAAATACGTGATTTTGATGCATTTTTGGCCTTAAAATGGCCATCATTCATCTGTGTGAGAAGTTTGAACTCGATCAATCCAGGCATGTCTCAGATACGGATCCAGAACTGAATTCTTTAAAACAAAATGGCCACCAGTCGGCCATTTCGAACTTGATCCGGGAAAAAAAAAAGACGTGCATCAAGGTCTTATTATGTTTAATGTATGTACCGAATTTAAACAAAATCCGTCCATGCATAACTGAGATTCGGGTTCGGAATGGTGAAAATGTGCGATTTTGATGCATTTTCGGCCTTAAAATGGCCGCTATTCGGCTATCGTATCATGAAATAAATGCATGTGCATATGTCCCATATAATGTGTGATGTATGAGTGAAGTTTGAACTTAATCGGTCCATGCATGTTCGAGATACAGGTGATCACGCACGCACGGATGCACACAGGGCAAACCATAAGTCCCTGTTTTCGGACTACGTCCGAACGGGGATTAATAATGAAATGTATGTATATGACATGTTTCATTTTTATGTTAGAAATGTATGCTATTATTGAACAGCCCAAATAAAAAAATTGCTTAAATACAAAAAAAAGTTGTTTTTTTGTTTGTTTGTTTTTTTTGGGGGGGGGGGGGGGGTTAGGGTCAAAAAACTGAAGCTGCTTCAGTAGGAGGCAACACGTGTACAGCAAATGTAAATCGTCCTTTAGAAAGAAGTGATGCCAGTATTACGTTTTATGATTTACTCCAAATAATTCACACTTAGGGTGGTGAGGTTGGATATTAAAGGGCAGTGGTAGTTGCACCGCGCATGTGCAACATTTGTGTTGATACAAATTTATTTTCCCACAATGCAATGTGCTTTTCTCATTGAATCATGAATACGAGTTTTGATCTTAGTGCTAATTGCACTAATTACCGCCGATGACTCTTTTGAACGTCTCAGTTTGTACTCGTTCTGCGCAACAGTCAAAGTCATGTCTTTGTTCATATGAGACCCATATCTCAGGCAAGCATGGCGAGATGACCACTGCTCTTTAAGCGATGAGCTTTTGTTTCTTGTGAGATACTAGTTTTAATTATCCACAACTACCCCACCCCCACCCAAAAAACAACATTCATTTGTAAACAAAATTAAATTAACATTGTTGTACACGCACAATAGCTGAGTTGAACATTCAACATGGGTCCCACACTATAGTCAAAGTGATTCACAAGGGTGTGCCTGATTGGCTACCTAACCATAACCATAACATTCAAGCCAATTAGAAAGCAGCTTATTTGTTGACAGGTTTTATCAACCAATCAAATCATGCATTGTTTATATGCACAGAATGCGTGCAGCTATGATAACCACCATCTTTCAAAAGTTTACGACACTCGGCAACTAAAAAACCAAATTATAATCATGATTGCTGTAATGCACAAAATAAAAATTTTGAAATTGACTCTTAACTGATGGACACATGATTTTCAAAAGTTTTTACTCCCCCTATTTTAGTAATTAAAACCGCCAACATGATTAGAACAAAAGAAATTTTGGTTTTCCCAACAAACAAACCTGAATCCCACATATTAATTAAAAACTTATTGACACTTAAAAAATATTTTTTTTTTGTAATCCCATAAAAACACGTTATCTCTGTACTTTGTATGTAAGTCATTATAAATATAATGACTTGACCTGATAATGACCTCTATATATAAGTAATGAATAGACGCATAACTATATCTGAAATAATGCACATCGTTAAACTGTTGTGGTGTCTTCTGAAGGTATCTCATATTTTTTAACTTACTGCCACTTAAAAAACATTTTTTTTGTAATCCTGTAAAAACACGTTATCTCTGTACTTTGTATGTAAGTCATTATAAATATAATGACTTGACCTGATAATGACCTTTATATATTAGTAATGGATGGACGCATAACTATATCTGAAATAATGCACATCGTTAAACTGTTGAGTGGTGTCTTCTGAAGGTATCTCATATTGGTCCATGGCGTTGTCAGAGTGGGCGTTATTTATATTCGGTCGTCGGCTGCATACTCAAACACCGCCATGGATTCCGCTGTAGTAAAATGAGGTGGATGCACAAAATGATTTTCATTGTTTTAACTTTTTCAGCACCAGACATTCTTGCCCAAATTTTCCGCAATTTTTTTCTTATATTCTTCAATATTTCTGGGAATGAATTCTAATTTTGGAGCCAACAGACAAAATTTAAATCAATTTTCGGTTTTACTCAAAATTTGGCTATTTTTGAAAGAAGGAACTGGTGGTG